GTCATTTTGTACATAAAAAGGGGTATTTTTAAAAATGGACAGCCAAAGGGGGCATTTTTGAAAAAGGGTATTAAAAAAGGGACATTTTTGTGAGTCTCCCTTACACTAAACATAGTAAAAATATATATATTTTTAGATTAATAAATAAAGTATGGATTTTAATTACATTTATATTTGTATTATTTTAGTTAATTTATTTAGATAATACTTAAATAAATAAATTGGTATTATGTTTTTTAAAAAATAAATGGGTATTATGGTAAAATTTTAATATAAAAAGAGTAGTTTTCAAATTACAATAAAATTGAGTATAGTTTTAATTTTTTTTTGACATAAAACTAAGTATATTTATAAAAATGTGCCCTTATTTTTTGGGTAGATTGTATATTACAAAAAAGCATTAGACGTTTTCTAAAAAATCTAAAACAACTGAAAATCTGTATGTTTTAAGAAAATATGTCTTAGAAAATGATATGTGCTGGTTTGGCCTATATAGAGGCAAGAAGATTTCAAACTTACTTGTTGTAGATTTAAGCATCTGAACTAAAACGCAATATGAAAACATTTCATTTATCTTACTTGATAAATCAAATAAAGAGTTCAATTAGTGCTATGTAGCTTACTCCACATTGCTTATGCGGTAGTTCTCCACATCTCTCATTCAGCAGTCCTTCACAAGGTCCCATCTGATTATATTACAAGAGGTTTAATACCTGCAAATACATCCACTACAAATTGTAAGTTATAAGAGAAACACCATAAACAACGCATATACACATCTTAATCATTATTTCCAAGATGACATCAAGAAAATCACCTTGAGATGCTAAGGGTGGAACAGTTTGTTGAAAGTGAATGACTTTCGAACATTACCATTTGCAACTCTAATTGTTGACTCGTCTGTGTAATCCATTGTAGATTAATGCCCATGCAACGACAGTCTCACTCTATAGTAAACCGTTATGCTCTCTGCTGAAACTATTTCGCTTATATTTATTATTTTTGAGGTCTTCAACTTGATTGTGCAATTTCTGGACATGGTGTCATTAATTACCGTCTGTCCTTAGCACCCTTTTATTTATTTGATGTTTTAGAGAATTTTTTTTTGTTTTAAAATATATGTTGTTTTCAACTTTCAATACAAAATTAATTAGTATAGATTTTGACAAATAATATTTTACATTTTGTTTTTCTATTGGTTGAATCGTGTTTTGGTAGATAATAAATGATATTTTGGTTTAGGAATAAAAAAAATTTAAATGATTCTTTAATCAGTGCGTAAAAACCTTAAACATCAAATATTAAAATGGGGAGGGAGTAATTATACAATCAAAGTGTTTTAGACTCTTAGGACAAACGCAGTGGTGCACTTTCTTGGTGGGTGTAAGTATTAAAATAAAGAAAATAATTGCAAAAATTGGTTTAGAAGAGACATCCGCGTGTAGCCTAACACTCAGATGTGGGGCATTATAAAAAAAGAAAAAAATTTCTTCTTCTCTCTCTCTCTTATCTCTCTCTCGTATCCAACAAAACTTTTGCATTATTTTCCTTTTCTTTAATACTTGTTAACCATATGAAAAGGCTTAGATAATTGCCAATATGAAGCTGGGTCAACCATGGGCTTAAGAACCTTATTGGAATTTAAAACAGTTGAATTGGAATTGAAACAGTATAAGACGAGGCCTTATTGGAATTGGAACTTTTGATACGTGGAAGCTGCCAAAACATGCGTCCATCTAGGCCTAGGCAAAAAAACCGCTAACCAAATAACCGACCGAACCGAACCGAAAAAAACCGAACCATATCCGAACCGAAGTTTTTAAAATAACCGAATGGTTTGTAAAATCCCCTATCCAAACTAACCGAAACCGAACCGAACCGAACCGATAACCAAACGATTAACCGAAATATCCAAAAACCTATAAGATACCCAAAAATAATATCCAAAACTATAATTATAAACTCAAAATATTAATTATTTTTAGAATCAAAATAATCAAATACTTTAAATAATCAAAATATTCAAATATTGTTTGTTATATTTGTCAAAGTTAAATACTCTTTTACAAAATTGAATCAAATTTTAATATTTTTTTCTAATACTTTCTTTTTTTGTATTTTCTTTTTGTATTTTTTTGTGGTTAATTTTGGTTAGTTTCGGTTAGTTACGGTAAATTTTGGTTAGTTTCGGTTAGTTACGGTAAATTTTGGTTAATTTGGGTAAAAACCCGAACCAAACCGAACGTGATAAAAGTTTGGTTAGTTACGGTTATCTATTTAAATATCCAAACCGAACCGAACCGAAAGGTAACCGAACCGAACCGAACCGAAATTCTTAAAATATCCGAATAGTTATTATATTACCATATCCAAACTAACCGAAACCGAACGTAACCGAACCGAAACCGAATGGTTAACCGAATGCCCAGGCCTACGTCCATCTTTAATTAAATGTAATTTCTTGTTTTGTTTTTGTGACATTTAATATTTACTTCTAGAAAAGAAGATCAAGTAAACATGCAGATAATATTTAAAAATATTAGAATTATCAATTATGATACGGATACCCTTGA